TGTTCAGTGATATTGGATTTCTAGGCGCCCCTTTTGATAAAAATGGTTCGTTTTGGATCTTTAAGCCATTGAAGACAATTCCTAAAGGATTGTTTGGTTTAAAATATTTTAAGATTATTATTTTCTTACTTCTAATGAAATCCAGGAAGGGGGTGTTAAGTGATATTTTTTCTCTTGACGCCCCTGAAGAAGTATTTATGATTTATCAATTCAAATAACTATAAAATTATTTTTAGAATTTTACTTGCCTTTCTTTATTTAATTTTGCATTTTTGGCACTGATTCCTCTTCAATTTCAGGAGTCTGATGTGGATCAAACAACCCCCCTGACTGTAGGATTTTTAGCCCCTGAACCATACAGGGCTCCTCCTGTAATTTGAATCTGTCCTTGTTGGGCTTTTTTGGCATTGGTCTAATATTCTGTCGGACCTAAAATCTTGAAAACAAAAATGATGCATCGGCAATAAAATATTTATATATATAAATACCTGTTTTGGGCCAAACACCCCCTCTTTCTACGCCCCTCATCAAGAAAAAAAAAAATTTGAAATTTTTTTCTGTCCCTTATGGATTTAAAGAATATAGGTGCAAAGTTAGCACCATTTATCTCTATTATTACAAGAGTTATTACAAACTCCAGGAGACTAGTGAGGTCCTTTACTGTTTTTTAACAGAAGAAGAATTTTCAAATTATTTTTCTTCTTTTTGTTATTTTTATGCTAAAACTTAAAAAAGGAGCGGGAAAGGCAGGCGGCCATAAGTCACAACATTTTTCCCTTCCCATGCAACATATTAGCTTTTTTTGTCTTCTGGCAGCCATGAGCTACAACCGTTGTCCCTCAATCCACAACATTTCAGTCTTGGGCAATGTTTACGTTTTTTATTATTTTAGTGGATTGAAATTGCGATTTTCAAAAGTCCAGCCGCATTACGCAAAAGATGATTTATAAGTTTATTTCAGATCAATAAATTTTGTGTTCAGTTGAAACAAAGAAGATTTTACCATATTTGTACGCATTGTGGGCACCGAGACAGATTGTTTGGGGGTAGTCTGAAGAATAAGAAAAGATGAGAAAAATCACAATATTAACTTTTATTACCTGAGCTTTAAACATTTCCACAAAAAAATCTAGCTTCCATGCTTCTGGTTAAATAGTTAAAATTTTCTGTGATATGGGTGCCCTTTGAACTTCAAGAGTATTTTTTGATTCATTATTTTAATTTTTTTTTTTTATTATTTTTAATGTTCAAAATGTTTTAAAAAATAACCAATTTTAGAGGAAAGATTGAATTTATTTTATGGAAAAATAATTTTAGCAGTGTACATTGAAAGGAATCATCATTATTTCTATTTAAAAGTTATATATAAAGATCTTTATATTTATGTATTTTGCATGACGTGGCTTGATTTTTGAATAACGCAATTTTAATGCACTAATTTTACCATTTAAAAACATAAAATTGCCAAAATGTTGTAGCATGAAAGACCCAACGGTTGTGGCTTATGGCTGCCGGAAGACAAAAATGCTAATATGTAGCATGGAACAAAAATTTCTTTTACCTTATGGCTGCCTGCCTTCCTCTGCTCTTCAGAGATAAGGAATTTTTTTAAAATCTCCTTTTTTTAAAGAGTTCAGATATGGGGTTTTAGAGCAAAAGATTTTTGTTTGTAATAAATAGAAAATCTATATATTAAGTAGTATTCTCTGCCTGTCTATTTGCTCTTAACCTGTTTTGTAAAACTGATTTTGTTAGTTTAACCTTTGAAAGCCTAGCGCTACATTAGTGCCATGTTTTTCTTTGTTTAGCAATTTTAGTAAATAGAATAGAATTTGGATTATTCTATTTCTATTGGAGATATTCTTTATTTATGAGGTGGGAAATATTTGTTAAAGAGACTGTAAACGTAGTTTAAAGTGACCTTCCCTTTAAAGAGTAGCATGCCTGATACACATTGGTACCTTATCTGTGCAACTACAAGGAAGATATTGTCGTTTTTCATCTCAAAAAAGTGTGGAATTCTGTAATTTACATTTTTTTTTCTCTGCTGCAAGAAAACATGGAAGTAACCCTTTTATTTAGATAATTGACACATTTTTATAAGAATTAAGTTTCTAATTGGAAATATATTTTAATCAGGGGATTGCGCTGAAATATGAAGAATTGTATGAAAAAGCTCTTCAGTCTTTTTCAACAGCCCAGGTATGAAAACAAAGTTCAGTGTTAGAATAATAAAATTTATTCCTCGTATGTCAGAAATATAAAAAATCAAAGCTTTGGATAAATACAAAAGATGTTAATTTACAAGATTTTTAAACCTTTTCTAGTCTCCATTCACTAACGGAATAAATTGATAGTGTAAACCTTATCATCAGAGAGTTCTTTTCCATTTTTCCTGTTCAATTTTCTTTTTTCTTGTTTCTTGTTTCTACATTTTGAGGCCTCTACAAATTGTTCTTGTGACATTGAGTTGTAGAGGAGGTAGGAAAGGTAGAAAGCCCCATCAGGTGGAATCTTCCACAGAAGTCCATTCCTCACATCCGACCAAGTACAAAACCAGTATCATTGGGCATGGCTTGTATACCTGTCAGGGATTATACTGATGTGTTCCTTCTTTCAATTATACTAGAAATTCAAGGCGCTTCGCGCCCTTCTTTCTAGCCTTAGAGGGCGCTTCGCGCCCATCTTCTAAATTAATTGTAAACATGTTCTCTTTGTGTACATCGTAAAACTAAACAAAAATAATTCGCGNGTCCACAAGAATTCATAGTTTGAAATATCTACGGTCTACGACATTTAATTTTAAAGAAATTGAGATTTAAAAATCCGAGTTTGTGGCAAAGACTTAATTCCTTTGTTTATGCAAACTTTTAGTTTTCTATACGTTTATGGGAAAATATTTGTATTGTAATCACTGTTAATTTATGATATCTTTTTTATTCAGGGCAAATTGAAACCTAAGAAAATAAGTTCTCTCTTAGAAGGATTGGACAATAAGGTGAAAATGATTTTAAAAGTGAAACTAGTATAAAAACTAGTATATAAAAGTGAAACTAGTATATAAAAGTGAAACTAGTATATAAAAGTGAAACTAGTATATAAAAGTGAAAATAGTCTATAAAAGTGAAACTAGTATATAAAAGTGAAACTAGTATATAAAAGTGAAACTAGTATATAAAAGTGAAACTAGTATATAAAAGTGAAACTGGTATATAAAAGTGAAACTAGTATTAAACGGATTTCAAATATCGATTTTCGGTAAAAGTTACTATGTCTTTATTACGCTGCTTAGGATCCATTTGATTTTGATGCGGATTCGGATCCGGATCCTGGATCCGCATTGGAAAAAATGGATCCGGATCCAGGTCATTTCTTTAAGATTTACTGAATTTTTTAAACAAAAAATAATTTTCAAATTTTTTGTTTTATTTTTTTCGCCTATTTTTATCCTAAAACTTGAACTATTCAAAAATGAGAATTTTTATAATCTCTTTTTTCAAAAGTTCAGATTTGAGTTTAGGAGTAAAAAGTCTTTTTTTTTGCAGATTTTGGTTGATATTTTACCCCTTGGATCCGGATCCAGGAAGCCAGAATCTTACGGATCCAACGGATCTGGATCCTAAGCACTGGTCTTCAATTATGTTAATAATGTTGCTTTCATATGGGATAAAAATACTTGGTTATTCAAAGCGAAAATGCACTTTACTGGCAAATAACGTTTTCTCTGGTTTTCTCAACAAAAAAAACAGTTGGAAAAGTAGATTGCCGGAGAAGTTTGCAGTTTTCCAACAGTCATAATCAGAAAGACTCAGCATTAATTGACAGTTAATCAGACGACTTTACATATATATCTCTGGCAATTTTAAATGCTAAAAAAAGGCAGACTTCATTTTGGAAATGGCAGGACTAGGGCTATTTTTTGATTATCGTGTCATCGTGTCATAATATTTGTAAAATTAGATTGTAAAGTCGTCTGATTCAGGGGCGTATTCAGGAATTTGTCCAGGGGGGCTTAAATTTTTTTCTCTTTCCAGGGGGGGCTCAGCACCCGTTGGGGCCTGAAAACCCTCTTAAATCAAAAGATTTCACCTGTTCAGGGGCGGGCTTAGCCCCCATAGCCCCATAGCCCCCCCTGAATACGCCTCTGGTCTGATAAATTGTAGATTTATTCTGGGTCTTTTTGATTAGGACTGTAGGTAAATTCTCTATGGTAGTTTAAATAGTAAATAGATAGTTATAATAATAGTTTTAATGGTTTTATTGTTTAGAGTTTAGGTCCCTATTCAGACGGACTTTACAAATCTCCGTCAGGGTTGGCTGTGAAATTGAATGCTGCATCTTTTAAGGCAAGCTTTTTCAAACATGAAATTCAGACTTTGTTGAATTGACCAAAATTTAATCAAATTTTCTTTCTCTTGTTACGAAAAAGATTTCATTGAAAAAAGAGTGAAATATTTTTTATTAAAAGCTGGGGAAAAGGAATAATTAGGGAGGTCGCTAAGAATGCGATTTGTGGACCCCCCCCCCCCCTTCATTATGTACTGCAAAACAGTGTTCAAGAATTTTATAAAAGGTTTTAAAATCAATAATTGAGTTACAACGTAAGATGAATGAGAGCCTTTTTTTTAATTTAGAAAAAACTTTTAAGCAATATGATCTATGAGAAAGTAATTTAAGTCCTTGAGAAAATGTTTGGTCTGAAGGATCTGAGAGTTGGATTGAACTCTGAGAAGGTTGTGTTGGGTCGAGTTATCTGCTCCGTCTACTCAGAGGAGACAGTTCCATTCACATTCTGTATCATGGACTGGGAGGAGACGGTTACAGTTGTTACTCTCTACAATCTTAGTCCGGGAAGAGGAGTTATTATAGGTCAGTAACTAGATATTATAGGTCAGTATCTAGATATTATAGATCAGTATCTAGATATTATAGGTCAGTATCTAAATATTATAGGTCAGTATCTAGATATTATAGGTCAGTAACTAGATATTATACGTCATTTACTATATATTATAGGTCAGTTACTAGATATTATAGGTCAGTTACTAGATATTATAGGTCAGTATCTAGATATTATAGGTCAGTATCTAGATATTATAGGTCAGTAACTAGATATTATAGGTCAATTACTGTATACTACAGTTCTATAACTAAATATTATAGGTCAGTAACTAGATATTATAGGTCAGTATCTAGATATTATAGGTCAGAAATTAGATATTATAGGTCAGTAACTCGATATTATAGTGGTTGTACAATTTTGGTTCTGATAAAGAAGTTATTATATATGGGTCAGAAGGATCTTAAGAAAAATTTTCAGGAAAAACATCTTTCTCTTGGTTTGCAGAAAACGTTAAAATGATGGGATTTCAACAGTGCTTAGGATCCATTTCAATTGATGCGTATCCGGATCCGGATCCTGGATTTACCCAGAAAAGAAATGGTTCCGGATCCTTATCAGTTTTTTGGTTGATATTTTGTTTCTTGGATCCGGATCCTTATTCAGGAGGTCAAATTGTTGTGGATCAATCTCATACGGACCCGGATCCTAAGCACTGGTTTTCAATTTTGGTTCTGAACACAGAGTATTATTGAGAGAGGTTCAGTGCACTGAGTACAGCTGGCAAGCTGGACAAAACTGTACAAAAACGTCATTTTTCCGGTGCTTCCTTTTTTTTATTTTGATATTTTTGTTAACATTTTGGGGGAAAATTGCTATCTATCTCTCGATAATTTCAAAGATAATTCAACTTTTTTAGGAGACAGTGTTGCTATACCAGAACCTTTCTTTACATCAGTAAATTTCTCACATAAACAAAAAACATATAATTTCGGCATAATCAGGTCAGAAAAATAATTGTTTTTGTTCTCTGTTGATTTATTGATCTATTTATAGATCGATTGGTTTGTTGGTTGAATTTTGATCGGATTAAAGATTGATCGGGTGATTATTTGATTGGTTGGTTGATTGATTGATTGTTTGGTTGATTGATTGATTGAATGATTGGTTCTCCGGTCGAGCGATATATTCATTGGACAGTTGAATTATTCATTGATTGATCAATTGGCAGGTTCAGTAATAATTTTGTTCAGGTGTTTGGTTGATTGATTTGATATGATAAAATGTATTAATTAATTAATTAATGAAAGGAAAGCGCTGTCACAGTCGATTTCAACCACCAGTACTTCCCCTCCTGATATGCATTTTTTACACGCCTGGGGTTGTCTGTTAAATCCGCCCAGGTTTTGTTCTATTAATGACTCCTGGTTGCAGGCAAACCCAGGTGAAGGGTTTCCGGGAACCTGACTTGGCCGTAACCCCAGGTTGAGATTCTCAACCCACCTGGCCCCCCCCCCCTATTTGGAACCTGGGTTTTGGGTTTCCCTGAGGCGTTGTAATCATAGGTTTAAATCAAACACAGGGATCAGGTCGTAAACTAATCTACTGTACTCTCTGTACACCTCAGCAATAACTAGGTCTGATACTAATCTATTGCACAGCAGGGATTAGGTCGTTAACCAATCTCCTGTACTCTCTGTACACGTCATCAATAACTAGTCTTGTACTATTCTATTGCCCAGAAGGGGTTAGGTCGTTAACTAATCTACTGTACTCTCTGTACACCTCAGCAATAACTAGGTCTTATACTTATCTATTGCACAGCAGGGATTAGGTCGTTAACTAATCTCCTGTACTCTCTGTACACGTCATCAATAACTAGGTCTTATACGAATCTATATTAAATGATTTTATTGGATTGTGAATTATAATAGAATTTAATATTAAAATTAAGATGGATGTCTAAAATATACTATTCACTTAATCGATTGATGGGATGAATAAATGATTTATTGAAAAACTTAATTACAGATTGAATATATATATATATATATATATTGGATACATTTTTGCCCAGGTTGGCATCAATCAGATATATATATATTTGTCAGGATTAATCTACTGATGATTGCCGCAAAGTATAATCCTGAAATATATTAAATTTTTTTAGCTGAGATTCTTTAAATATATATGTATTTGTATGTTTATATATATGTTAGCTTTAGCTGGCCAACCAGCTGAACCAAATGAGCTGACATTTTATGAGAGAACACTTTAATACCCCGTGGGTAACAAAGGCTAAAAATAATTCGATTAATTTTTTAATTGAATTTTTATTTCTAATCCCACGGGCAACGCCGGGCACTTCAGCTAGTTATCTAATGTGTTTTCTACTTTTAGGCGGGGGTGCAGATGACTCCATTCACGATACACTAATAATCAGTCGGGGTCATACAGTACACTGTGTCGTGTACACCTTTATACTACAGTCGGGGTCATACAGTACACTGTGTCGTGTACACCTTTATGCTACAGTCGGGTTTATGCAGTACACTGTGTCGTGTACACCTGTATACTACAGTGTTCGTCTTCAAAATTCCAACCAGTGAAATAGAAAAATGTACGTACTTTAAAATGAGTTGAAATTCAGCCTCCATCGACGACATACTATTAATCTCATAACTGCCGACCAATGAAACATTAAGGGAAGAAAGGGATTAAGTTAATCCTTTACGAGAAGACGAGGAGCTTAATTTAATTAAGATTAGTACCCTGCATTCAAAAATTCTAAGCTTAACACTATAATATTCTCAAAAACATAACTCCAATTAGTAATCATAAAGATATAACTTAATCAAATTTACTAAGAAGTTAATCTTAACAAAATTAAATTACGCCGAATTGTTAACTAAACTTAATAATTTGGATTAATATTGTTTCAAATTAAGTTTTTGAAATTTTTTTATTTTCTTTAACTTAGAATAAGTTAAACCCATGTGCTATTCATCTTCCAACTCACTACTGCGCACCTACAAAAGTTTTCATTCTTGAAATCAATCTTTTATGTGGCATATTGTTAAATATTTGGATTTGTGTCATCTATAAAAATTGCACGTATATTGACGGACTTTTAAGTACTGTCCTAAAAAGTTGAATGTTCTGATATCACCAGTATTATGTTTTATTTTTTCAAACCATTGCTCATTTTAGTTTTAGTTTAATTTTAACTGACCCTCCATCAAAGGGACTGAAAGCGTAATTTTAAGGGACTCTCTATGAAAATGTCCGATTTACTAAGGTACCATGAAAACCTTAATCTGATCAAAAATGTTAAAGACAACGTTATTCTTCTGAGCCGAAAAGTGTTAATTTTTGCGCGTTTGAAATCGGGTATTGCCATTTGCAATCTTTTCATGGAGGGCCTCTTGATTACGCTTTACAGACTTTACATACGCGCCTGATACAAAACGATATACGTTCAAAACTTTTTTTTAGTAACAATGAGGATTTAGGAATTTTCGTTTTTCCAACTGGAGAAGTTATAAATTCCGACAACTTCCTTTCTTCTCTTTGCTTCATAAATCTGCAAGCCATTAACTGAAATTCAATATTTTCAGATAGAAAACTAAGGATAGTTCCATTAATTCAATATTTTCAGATAGAAAACTAAGGATAGTTCCATTAATTTTACCTCGACTCAAGTTTCAATCGGGCGTTAAGCTCTTTAAATAGAGGCCAGAGGCCTGGTCACATGAAATTACGCTTACAGTCCCTTTAGATATCGTGCATATAGTATGCTTACCTGGATTTTCATTTTTGACTCCCTATCAAGGTTGTATAGTAAGGTTAGATACTCGGGGTGCGTTCCAATGTACTAGAGAGGTCTTTCTCCACTTGAAGTTGCCACTTAATCTTTCGGCAATAATCCTGAGGATTTATTGTCCATTGTTATGAAAACGACATTTCTAGTTAATTGGAGCGTATCCAGAGTACCTAATCTTGTTTTTACAACCTTGCTCCCAAAATTGCTCATTTTGTGATAAAATTTTGCTTTTATTTGTATTTTTGCTATTTTTGAGTATTCTTGCCATGCACTATATTAAATTAGCTAATATTATTTTACTGTTGTATTTTCAGATTAAATCTGTGTAAAGATTATGTGAATATTTTCTGTTTATGTAATTAGATCTTCCCGAGAGAAATACAACGATACAGGTTATCTACATTTCTAGAATGCAATTTTTATTATTTTTTATGCAAGTTTTTTGGCCCAATTTGTTGTATTGTTGATTTTCAAAATTACATAGAAATATTATTTAAATCCCGGGGCTAAGTGAGGTGACAGAACAAATTTGGATGAAATTCTGTCCAATCTTTAGAGCACTTGTCAATTAAAAAAAGCAGACTAGATTAAAAAATCAACTCTCTCAAAAAGTTTTCTTTTTATTGGGCAAAATCGTATTTCTGTGGCCCGCGCATAGCCATACAGAAAAAAAACATGTGGTCCTGATTTTTTTTATTAAGTGTCATTTTGACAGAAACACGAGTTTGAAGTTGAACAAAAAAAAAGAAAACTTTTTGAGAGTTTGGAATCTTTATACTTGAAAACGCATAGCCGTACAGAAAAAACATGTGGTCCAGATTTTTTTATCAAGTGTCATTTTGATGTTTTTATGTGCGGCGCACAGAAACACGATTTTGACAAATAAAAAGAAAACTTTTTGAGAGAGTTGAATCTTTGCATAAGTGTCATTTTGATGTTTTTATGCATGGCGCACAGAAACCGCGGGAAAATGACATATTACCCTTATTTTGATTTGGGGGCTTTTTACATCTATAGAATTTATTCTGCAGAAAAAAGTTTAAATTTTACACTTTCGACGATATCTTTCTAATTGTTACATAAAGGTTAGAAGGTTTGAATCGGACACTCGTTCTTTTAATGGAGGGTCACATTTACAGCCTATATAAAGAAAATCTTCGTTAAATGGACTGTGAAGGAAAAATGAAAGGGGGTATAGGCTGAAACCTGAGCATTTCAGGAGTTCTACTGGTCACGTGATACAGACGGAGACACCTGACAATAATACTGCACTGTCAATGGTTCAATGGTTTGAGTTCTGGTCACATGATACGGACGTATAAATATTAATATCAATGATATGTTTTTAAAATAAGAAATCTGAGTTTTTCAGACTCTTCTGGGATATCGTAGTTTTCAGATTGGTCGCGTATTTGCTGAATATGAGCTGTTTAAAACTTAGAATCTTATACAAAATCTTACATACATAAGTTTTGGTATAATTTTGACACAGTTATATATCAATTTCTAGAGACAGGAACATCAGATAGAACTCTTATGGGTCTCAATCAACTCCTGAAATGCTTAGGTTTCAGTTTATAACCACTCTCTTGTTTTCTTTACAGTTCCTTTAAGGTTAAAAAGTGAAGGTTTTTCTGTTTAGGGTTTTCTGGAAGAGAAAGTTGTAAATGTTGTAAATTAGTTGAAAATGGAGAAGATGAAACCAATCAAACAACCTCCTACATCAGAAAAAGAAATAGATGCAAACTTGTCGGATGAGAAACTCAAGAAAGAAGAGTCGGTCCAACAAGAGATTGATCAAGATGGATCAGAAATAGAATGGATGATGCATTCCTCTGCTGGTTATAAGAACAAACCAAAATTAAAAAATAAACCTAGAAATTCAAAAACCAAGAAGACAATTTCTGAACCTGTAAAGCCAGATGAAATGGCGACCAAAGAAATAAAAGGGAGAAATGCAGCGGATGTTGGTGGAAAAAAGAAATCTTCGTCTACTTCAAAAAAGAAAGCAGTGGAGGACGGAGAAGCTACGGTTGTAAGTCAAGAAGATGTATGTAAAGCAGCAACAATAGTTCTGTCTAGAAGGAAGACTAAGAAAGGAGTTTACAGTGGAGCATCTGAATTGAATTCCCCATTTACTAGAAAGGATTCCAAGAAAGTAGTTGCTATTAAAACCGTAGAATCAGCTACTGCTCCAAAGAATTCCTTAGAAGCCGTTAGCATTGAAGCTCTAGACTTAGCAGCTGCTTGCTTAGAACTTGGAACTGAAGCAGCTGCTAAAAGTGAAAGTTCTGGAAAGAAAGACGTTGGCCATGGAACTTCAGGATTTAAACCATCATTCACTGAGGAGAAAGCAAAGAAAGCAGTTGCCACTGGAACTGTAGAATTTGGATCAGCTACTGCAAAGAATACACAGGAAGCTGCAGCTAGCATTGAAGCTGTAGAAATGAAAGCTTCCTGCGTAGAATTTGTAACTAAAGCAGTTGCCATTGGAACCAAAGAACCAGAATCAGCTTACGCAGAGAATTCCAAGGAAGCATCTAGCATTGTACCTGTAGGAATAGAAACAGCTGCTATTAATGATCAAGTAAAACCCCCAATTGACACCAGAGCCCGTCCTAAAGAAAAAGAAGTATTAAGGAAGAAGAATACAACTGAACCTAGTTCCACTAAGAATCAAGAGTTCAGAAATGAACGAATGAAAAAGAATTTCAGTGCTCTGCGCAACCGTCAGGTAAGATTTTGATAATGTCACCCAATTCTCAAGAAAATGGCTATTAATGTTTATTGAATAAATAAATTCAGATTTATAAAGTTTACTCAATACTGGACTTTATCTTTCAGAAACCATTTTCTATTTTCCATTTATAGAAACTGAAATTCACAGTGCTCAACAGCCTCAGATGTTGCTTGATTTCAAGATTTCTTTTAAAAATTTTGGAAAATAAGTTTATTTTATTTTAAGATGTTTCCCCGTTGTCATGGTTGCAATATATTCTTAATTGATCAAAGCTCTTTAGGAAGTACAGTTGTGAAATCACGCGTACAGTCCCTTTAATATTAATTAGGCATGGTTTATGCTACAGTATTGAATTCACGCGTACAGTCCCTTTAATATTAATTAGGCATGGTTTATGCTGTATTGTTATCACGCGTACAGTCCCTTTAATATTAATTAGGCATAGTTTATGCTATATTAAAATCACGCGTACAGTCCCTTTAATATTAATTAGGTATGGTTTATGCTGTATTGAAATCACACCTACAGTCCCTGTAATATTAATTAGGCATGGTTTATGCTGTATTGTTATCACGTTTACAGTCCCTTTAATATTAATTAGGCATAGTTTATGCTGTATTAAAATCACGTGTACAGTCCCTTTAATATTAATTAGGCATGGTTTATGCTGTATTGAAATCACGCGTACAGCCCCTTTAATACTAATTAGGCATGGTTTATGCTGTATGGAAATCACGTGTACAGTCCCTATAATATTAATTAGGCATAGTTTATGTTGTATTGAAATGACACCTACAGTCCCTTTAATATTAATTAGGCATGGTTTATGCTGTATTCAAATCACGCGTACAGTCCCTTTAATATTAATTAGGTATGGTTTATGCTGTATTGAAATCACGCGTACATTCCCTTTAATACTAATTAGGCATGGTTTATGCTGTATTGAAATCACGCGTACAGTCCCTTTAATGTTAATTAGGCATGGTTTATGCTGTATTGAATGTTTTAGGGTGAAGGTTTTGTGCTACCAAGGATTATAGAAAAGGTAAGACAGATTTTATATTTGAAACTGATCAAAATTAGAATTTTTAAATTGCTAGACTGTTTGGTTATCTGTTAGCAATTTATTGTCTTACTGTGATCTTTATTTATAACTTATCTTATTACCCTTTTGTGATATTTTTCGAAATGTCATCTATACTTATTATCATTTAATAAGTATATGTACAAGAATATGCAAAAAATAAATTTTTACAAAAATCCAAAAAAATCAATGGAAAATGTACAAATCTTGTCACTCAAAATATGGCGTACATTTTTGCCTTTTTGAGGAGTTTGTGCAAAATCAAGGAAAACTTTTAGTTGTTTTGAAAGTAATTATTTTAAAATCAAACGCCTTGCGTTCTAATATTGGATGATGGACAGTCAATAAACGGAAATATTTCATAATCCAAGGAATTTACAAGAAATTCCTGCCATTGGAGCTGTCAGAAAAGTTCTTTTCAAAATATTCTGATCCCGAGGGACGCGTGGTAGCATTGTATTAGGTGGATCGAGGGGAGGAACCACAACCACAACAATTTCTCGTTTGAGCCACATTCTCCTCATTTTCTCGTCTCGGACGAGAAATTATTGTGGCTGGCCTTCCTCCCCTTGTAGATTAAAAGAGTTGGCGTGATGAATTTGGGCCCATGTGCTGTAGAAAATAACGTTTGGCTCAAAAAAATTTAAACATACTTTTCTTCCTTGTTTTCTAAATGATATTTGTGAAATGAAAAAGTGAAATGTTCGCATTAAAATAAACTGTCCAGTAAACTTGGCAGGAATGATAAAATCACAAAAAGGAAGTCTCTTGGAAAATAAGGGTAGTCCTAGAAATTTAACCTCTAAATTTTGAAACAATGCGCTTAAAAGGGTTAGGAGTTGGAGGTATTTGAGAAAAAATATTGGAGTTTAGCCATGTATCATTACCGAAAAATTTCAGTTTAATCCCAAAAACAAGTGAAGATCGTCTTAGTTTCTGCCAAAGATTTTTTCACCAGTACTCCGAGGACTCGGAACAAGTTTTTTTTTACCTAAGAGTCTTCTTTTGAGCTGTTTCATCCTCCCAACCCCAAAAATTGTGTTATGTTTATGCTGTTAATAATGTATCATTATGTTCCAGTTCCAAATTTCAACCCTAAGAAAGGGTGTGATGTGGGGCATGATCTTTTCTTGCCTCACAGACCTCCACAATCCACATTGTCCTTCATGAAAGCAATTGACCAGGAATTTACTGTACTAACATGCTTTAAAGACACTGCATACCATTTTCTAACCCGCCAACTCTTTTGTTCCACCCTCTACAAGTTAGGGTAGTCCTAGAAATTTAACCTCTAAATTTTGAAACAATGCGCTTAAAAGGGTTAGGAGTTGGAGGTATTTGAGAAAAAATATTGGAGTTTAGCAATGTATCATTACCGAAAAATTTCACTTTAATCCCAAAAACAAGTGAAGATCGTCTTAGTTTCTGCCAAAGATTTTTTCACCAGTACTCCGAGGACTCGGAACAAGTTTTTTTTTACTTAAGAGTCTTCTTTTGAGCTGTTTCATCCTCCCAACCCCAAAAATTGTGTTATGTTTATGCTGTTAATAATGTATCATTATGTTCCAGTTCCAAATTTCAACCCTAAGAAAGGGTGTGATGTGGGGCATGATCTTTTCTTGCCTCACAGACCTCCACAATCCACATTGTCCTTCATGAAAGCAATTGACCAGGAATTTACTGTACTAACATGCTTTAAAGACACTGCATACCATTTTCTAACCCGCCAACTCTTTTGTTCCACCCTCTACAAGTTTAAGAACAATCAAATAGATTATCAAGTACAAAAGGTGGCAACAGAGAAATGGACAAATTATACATGACGTCACAAGTGTGAAATATAACAAGAAAACCAAAATTTTCTCACATTCGTTGACCTGTTTTCTAAGATTAAATAATACAGAAAAAGAGCACAAAAAATTGCACTCATTTTACTGTAAGATACGCACTTTATTCTAAAATAAACACTATCATTTATATTTTTGTCGGACGCAAAAACTAAATTGACACTTGTGACGTCAGAATACAGCTGTACTGACAGTGTAAAATTTTACGTTGCCATCTCTTGTACTAGAATCTATTTGAAAACAATCCAATCAACGCGTATCTTTTTCAGTGTGGGCATGATATCTGTGAGAAGTGTATCATCAACATATTTGAGGTAGACAGACTAATTAAAAGGATTTAAAGCGTAAGTGATTCTCTATGCAAAGATGGCATTGCCTGATTCACAACGGTACCCTTAACAGTATTGACCGATCAAGAACGAATTAGACATCAATTTGGAAAAATGATTATTTTCAACTGTGGGTTTTCTACAAAAGTGACTTGCGCATTTCTACAGCAGGAAACAATATTAGAATAATGGGAATTAAACACTGCAAACTTTAAAAACAACAATATCTACTACATTTCTGATCTGTTAAAGGCTTTTAAGGGTACTCTTGTGAATATGGCACTGATTTGTCGTCTTTTAATGAAAGGTCACTCAAAACTACGCTTTCAGGCCCCTAGAATGAAAAATTGTCTAATACATACTTTTTCTGCGTATTAATCTGTCCTAAACATATGGGGGCCATCTTTTTTTTCCTTTTGGTTTGACTTTTTGGGTCTAGTGGAGAAACGATGTTTTCAACTGGACCTTCAGGGGGGGAAGGAGGATGGGGTAATAATGATCGCTCAACACAAGGATTTAATGCAAGGAAAGTTATTTCAGAGGTTTAGGCATCTTTTGTACTGCAGTGTACTGTCTCTGGGCGGTAATGTAAACACAAGACGGTTATCACAGCCAGACATGGGATCCATCTTTCACATAAATAATCAATGAATAATTCTGTTAATAGGAAACTATTATATGAATTATCAAAATTATCAAAATTCAATGCTTTTAACCTCCTCTGATACTAAACGAACACTGAGGCATCTATTCTTGTTTACAAATTCCGCCCAGAGAGAACTGGTTTCAATATGTACGCAGAGTATTTGCAACTGCAATTAACTTTCCTTGCATTACATTCTTGGCTCAACAAAGCTTGTTACAGGGTTGTAATGTTTCAAATAATATTTTTTTCTAATATTGTTGAAATTGAAAATATTCATAAAAATGTTTCTTTAAAGACTGGAGCGGCGACTGTAGAATGTCCTTTTCCCGGCTGCAAAACCATATCTTCCTCTCTGGTCAGTAGTCTTTGGACTAATTATTTGAATTTTTAAAACTTTGTTTAAATGATTTTATGGTTCAACAAGTTCAAGTAGATAAGGATTTATAATTGATATTAAATGTAAAATAAATACTCATCAATCTTAGCAATTAATTTTAAAACAATTTTTAAATAAAATTATATTTTTGTAATATTTTAACTCGATATCGTTTTTGTTAGGACTAATGTAAAATTAAATAATGAAATGATGAATTCATAAATAATTAATTGCTCGATGCAATTGTTGACTTGAAATAACATTTTGTCAAGGATTTGAACCAGTATCCTGTGAATAATCTTCTACTAGGTAATATATAAAATATTTTCTATCCTTTACAGTACTTTGCTGTACTGTGATTGTTGTGCTGCACTGTACTGTAGTGTACTGTACCGTACTGTGCCGCACAGTTCTGTACTGTGCTGCATTTTACTGTGCTGTACTGTACTGTGCTTTACTGTACTGTGCTGTACCGTACTGAAATGTGCTGTTATAACGTACGTTATAATACCGTACTGTGCCGCACAGTTCTGTACTGTGCTTTGCAGTACTTTACTGTGCGTATTGTTTTTATTAACTGCACGCATATAATACATAAACTGCACATATATCAGATAATTGTGTTTTAAAAAGAAACTTATGACTTATGAAATATGACTTATGACTCTTATGACTCTTATGACATTTAAAGAAGGGAATGTATGTTCTATTCACAATGGTACCTTTTTTACCCCCCAATCGTAGCTGAGTAACAATGAGGAAGATAACTTAATTATTTTTTACCTTTAAATGTGTTAAATTCTTAACATTTCTGTTTTGAGGAACTACAATTAAAATTAATCAATCTTTCAACTAGAAAATAGAGATATTTTATTCATTCCTGGTCAGAGTAACGTGAATCAGACATATCACTTTATAAATGGAGGGTCTTTTGAAACAACGTTCAGTCCATTAAAAATGTTATTTTAAAAACATTTTTTCCCGAGCTTTGATTTATACCAAAAACTAATTACAAGCACACAAAATTGTCCAGAGTTAAATAGTTTGAGTCAATAATACTCATCAATCTTAGCAATTAATTTTAAAACAATTTTTAAATAAATTATATTTTTGTAATATTTTAACTCGATATCGTTTTTGTTAGGACTAATGTAAAATTAAATAATGAAATGATGAATTCATAAATAATTAATTGCTCGATGCAATTGTTGACTTGAAATAACATTTTGTCAAGGATTTGAACCAGTATCCTGTGAATAATCTTCTACTAGGTAATATATAAAATATTTTCTATCCTTTACAGTACTTTGCTGTACTGTGATTGTTGTGCTGCACTGTACTGTAGTGTACTGTACCGTACTGTGCCGCACAGTTCTGTACTGTGCTGCATTTTACTGTGCTGTACTGTACTGTGCTTTACTGTACAAAATTGTCCAGAGTTAAATAGTTTGAGTCAATTTAATTTAATTTAATTTAGCCGGCCACTGAAATGAATGCACCCACAACAATAAGGTTTGTGACACTTTGTATACTGTTCATGCAATAAATTACTTAATGTTGTTTTTAAAAATATTTTTCCTTTTAGATTTGATAAATAACATGAAACCCATCCCTGTACCACAGGTAAAAGAACCAATTAGAATAAGAAAAAAAATCTCTTAAGGGATTGACAAAATAATTTTAATTGACAAATTAATTTTAATTTCAAATTTCCCGGCTTCTGAAACCCCACTCTGATTGGTTGAATTTTATTCACTTTTCAGGATACAAGATCAGTTTAGTCTCGATATTAAGAAAAAGAGACGATTAAGCATTGATCTCGATATCCACCATTCTAAAGTTCCCAGCTCAGCTTGCTTTTAATAATCGACGATGTCTTCTTCCGCTAAATGTTTGTTATTTCGACTGCGGGTTTCTAGAAAGTGGTTTGTGGTTTTCTGTTGTAAGAACCTGTAACTGTTTACTCTCATAAATTCCTTTTTTTTGGTGCACAAATGAAAATGTTACGTAGTATCAAAAAACTAACGATAATCTAGATTTTTCCTTTTCTCATGCCGTTTAAAGGTTTATAAATTGCAAAGTTTGACCAACACAAATATCATTAACTATTTTATTTCAAAATAATCTTTTTCTTTAATAATTGGAATTATCAATTGTACATTTATAGCTTGAAAGAGTACATGAAGATTTGTCAATTCCATCTACCTGTGTTCATCATAAGAAGGAGACTCGGTTTTATTTCATAGGTAACACATTTTCTTAGAAATCAGATTAGCAACAATTTAGCTCCATGGAGATACATGGGCAAATATTTTTACCACCAACATAGGAAAGCCCTACTTTTTGCTCACAAATCAACAATTTTAAAAATAGGTTTCGTTTTTTTATTTTCTTCTGAAACCCTCTAAAAATCCCTTTAAATTTCCCTAATAATTTTTGAAAATACTTACGACTTTTCGTTCAAGGGTTGGATATGTTTGGTTGTGAGATATGTGCAGAAGAAATCCCTTCTTACGCTGTCAGTATTCACCAATTTCCGCCCTACAACCAGGTAAAATATTCCCCTGTAACCTGGTAAAATTATCCCCCTACAACCAGGAAAAATATTCCCATGTAACCTGGTAAAATTATCCCCCTACAACCAGGAAAAATATTCCCCTGTAACCTGGTAAAATTTCCCCCCTACAACCAGGTAAAATATTCCCCTGTAACCTGGTAAAATTATCCCCCTACAACCAGGAAAAATATTCCCATGTAACCTGGTAAAATTATCCCCCTACAACCAGGAAAAATATTCCCCTGTAACCTGGTAAAATTTCCCCCCTACAACCAGGTAAAATATTCCCCTGTAACACCTGGTAAAATTATCCCCCTACAACCAGGTAAAATATTCCCATGTAACCTGGTAAAATTTTCCCCCTACAGCCAGGTAAAATATTCCCCTGTAACCTGGTAAAATTTCCTATAACAACCAGGTAAAATTTCCAATAACAACCTGGTAAAATGTCCACCCTACAACCAGGCAAACTTTCCATCCTACAACCAGGCAAACTTTCCACCCTACAACCAGGCAAATTTTCCACCCCTCTAGTTACAATCTGGTAAAACATCCACCCTACAACCAGTTCCAAATTTCAACCACGCAACTAGGTAAAATTTCCATCCTACAACCAGGTAAAATTTCCACCCTATAACCAGTTAAAATTTCCATCTTATAACTTATAAAAATTTCCATCCTACAATTAGGTAAAATTTCCACCCCATAACCAGATAAAATTTCTACCCTACAACCTGGTAAAATTTTAATTCTACAACCAGGCAAAATTTCCATCCTACAACTAGGTGAAACTTCCACCCTACAACCAGGCAACATTACCATCCTACAACCAAGTAAAATCTACCCCGAACCTAGGAGATTTTCCACCTAATAACCTGGTAAAATTTCCTCCCTACAACCAGGCACAATTTTCACTGTAAAACCAGGCAAAATTTCCATCCTGCAACCAGGTTAAATTTCCATCCTACAATCAGGTTAAATTTCCATCCTACAAATAGGTTAAATTTCCATCCGACAACTAGGTTAAATTTCCATCCTACAACTAGGTTAAATTTCCATCCTACAACTAGGTTAAATTTCCATCCTACAACTAGGTTAAATTTCCATCCTACAACTAGGTTAAATTTCCTTCCTACCACTAGGTTAAATTTCCATCCTAAAACCAGGTTAAATTTCCATTCTACAACTAGGTTGAATTTCAATCCTACAACCAGGTTAAATTTCCATCCTGCAACTAGGTTGAATTTCAATCCTACAACCTGGTAAAATTTCCATCCTACAACCATGTAAAATTTCCACATATTTGTTATATTATTGCAGACTCAAATTATGCCATATGATAACTAAAACAATAACCAAGACACACATAAACAGACTTTTGAGCTATTTCTGAAAAAAGACAAACTAATTAAACAAATTCTAAACTTATGTTTAACAACAAAACTTATTTACAGACTCTCTGAGCTAATGTTCAAAGACGTAACACATAAACAGGCTCTTTTGAAAAGAAAACACACACATAGATTATGAACTATTGTTCAAAAACTAAAACTAAGAATACATATACATAGATTCTGAGCTATTGTTCAAAAACTAAAACTAAGAATACACATACATAGATTCTGAGCTATTGTTCAAAAACAAAAAATAGATCTAGCTAATGTCCAAAGACAAAAAATTTTACTAACTCTCTGGGCTAATGTTCAAGGACAAAATAAATAAACAAATTCTGAACTGATGTTGAAAGACCACATGTGCAGAGTTTAAGAGACATCAATAATGATCAAAAGCATTAAAGCATAAACATTAAAATTAAGCATAAAGCTTAATTTTTAAGTGACCCTCTATTCACTCAAATATGGCAATGTCCGATTTACAACGGTACCCTTGAAAGCTTTGTCTGATCAAGTATGAATCTGATATCAATGTTTTCGATTCTTAAACTTTTTCCTTTTGCGGTTTCTTTGTCAAAAATGACGTTATTCTCCAAATATTTGATCAGATGAATGTTTCAAGGGTATCGTTGTGAATCGGGCAGTGCTATCTTTGTATGGAGGGTCACTTGAAATTATGCTTACAGTCCCTTTAAATTTATATATTTAGAGGTTACTGTTTGATATAAATGGTTTGATAACTGCGTGGAAGACTAGAAAAGTCCAGACCTTGAAGAGTTTGGAGAATCCACTTCTTGAGTTTCAGCATACCATTAGGAAGAAAATTAGAGATCTTCACAGGAATACACAGATTTATTTTTTATTATCAAACACAACACTGGATTATTTAAAGGGATTGACCGGCTATGTAAGGTCGTTGAGTATGCAGTGTTGTGGAAAGCTTCTTTCATTCTTTTGAGACATATTAAACTTTTTAAAGATCTGTAAATCCTGAGTTTAAGCGCAAATTCGACGTTCAAAACTCCTACTTTGGGGGTGGATACGTTTTCAGAATTAGTTTTTTAAATTATTAGATAACGACGACATAAAATGTAAAAAAAAGTTCTACAATAAACTACAGACGTCATGTATAGGAACATGTTGAGAAAATAAAAATTAATCTTATCATCGAAAAGAAGTAATCTTGTTCAATTATTATTTTCTATTTTCTCATTATTCTGGTTTCTGATTATTTAAAGATTTTCTAGAATTATTATTGAAAAGACGACATTTGAAGAATTTGTAGAAATCTGCGAATAAATTCATAGAAGATAAGAAATTCAATATAATGATAAAAACGAAATAATCGATTTTAGCATTGATTTATTAATAAATTTCTTTTGAGAAATATGTTCCTAACCATCTAATTAGATTACTGTATAATTTTTACTTTATTTTTCTATTTAATTATTTTAAAATACTATTTCTGAAAACGAATCCACCCCCAAAGTAGGAATTTTGATCGTCAAACTCAGGATTTACAGATCTTTAAAAAGTTCAATATGTCTCAAATGAATCCGAAAGAAGTTTTCCGCAAAACTGCATACTCAGTTCAACTACCTTACATAGCCGGTCACTCCCTTTAACACCCTTAGCGTTGTTATTGAATATTTCTAGGTTTTTAATTTCCATTGGTTCTAATTTTTCTTTAAATGGTACATTTGTTGTTAGTCATTTTGTTTAAGGCAATTTGAAAAAAGGATATTGGATAAAGAAAAGAAGAAAAGAAATATTTTTTGTTGTTTTTGATACGGGTAAATTTGATATTCATCTTAAAACTAAAAATCAGTCTCCCTTCCTGCTATATACTTGGACATTGCTCCTTGTACATTTTAAAACGACTCCACAGCACTGAAGAAAGTTTACAGATTTTCAAAAAAATCATGTGAGGGCCAACAAAAAAATTAGGCTGAATCTGTTTTTTTCTGTATTTCCCTTTTTTGGTCATTATTTGGATTCAAAGAGGTCTAAACATAATGACAAGGATTAAAAGATTTTAACACATATTGAATTAATGATCTGTTGTTAATCAGAGAAGTGGATAAACTGGAGAATAAACTCATTAAACAACTTCAAGACGAACTGTTCCACCAACAGTAAGTGTTTAATGGGACCCTCCATGTCTGAATCACAACAGTAACCTTGAAAGCTTTCTTTGAATTGGATGGCTTTATATTTGTCTTTTGAAAACGGGTTATTTTTAATTGTAGAAAAGTGATTACACGTGTTTCTTGCTTCCGAAACAACGGACAACCTATCAGAATTAAGGTTTCAAAGTTTCAAGGGTGTCTTTGTGAGTCAAATATGTCCCTCTATTATTATATTACGCCCACAGCACCTTGAACAGTTGACAAGACTTGGGAGTTAATTCATTGATTTGAACCTTTTTTTACTTCATGCAAGGAATATTTTAACTTTACACAGAATGGTATTGAATCCATTAGATTTGGGACAACTGCTTGATCCATAGATGTTAGTTTTTAACTTGGCTTAGGCAGATGTTACTCAGATTTCTATTATCTTCTTACCATTTTTTTATCTGTTGAATTTTGTAATTTTTCAAATATAAAATTGTATTAAAATATATTTATTAAGGGAGTTGAAGGATAGAGCTTCACAGGACCAGAATGAGGAAATTCTTCACCTCCTCAAGCTTCAGGGGCGCTACAACATTTTTTTAGTGTCTTTCTTGTGAGCATGTATTCGAGCATCATTTTTGCTCGTGTTCTCTTTTCCAGCATAATTGTAAGTGTCATTTTTGCAAGTTTCATTTTTGTTAGCGTCATCTCTGCTATATTTTATTTTTGCTAGTGTCATTTTTGCTTGCGTGAGTTTTGCTAGTGTCAATTTTGTTTTCGTCATTTTTGCTAGTGTCATTTTTGCTTGCGTGAGTTTTGCTAGCGTCATTTTTGCTTGCGTCATTTTGGCTTGTGTCATTTTTGTTAGCGTCATTTTTGCTATATTTTATTTTTGCCAGTGTCACTATTGCTATATGTCATTTTTGCTGTACATAATTTTTACTATTTTCTTTTTTGATAGCTAAACTTTGGCTAGCGTCATTTTTCCTTGGGTCATAATTGCTTTATGTCATTTTTTTCTATGATATCATTTTTGCTATATTATCATTTTTCCTTTAATATTAATTTTGCTATGTATAATTTTTGCAATAATATCATTTTTGCTTTACTATTAATTTTGCTTTGTATCATTTTTGCTATAATATCATTTTTGCTTTACTATTAATTTTGCTTTGTATCATTTTTGTTAAATGTCATTTTTGATAAACGTCATTTTGCCTTATTTTACTTTTTCTTTATTTTTTTCTAGATTTTTAGCCTGCTGCACATTTGAAAGTCTAACCTAACACTAATAATATGATTGGTATGTTTTTCATGTAGAAAAAAATGATGTTTTCCAGGTGTACACTGTACATCTTCAACATTATAAAGCTTTTTGCTCAAGTATATATATTTGGTTGTTATAGCTGACCAAACGGCTGGACCAAATTGGCTGAAATTTTATGATGGAAACCCATAGGACCTTGGAAGTCCAGTAAAAATATTGTAGCCCCTCCTCCAGGAGATGGCAAAACAGAGTTTAGTACTACAATCAGATTCCGCCAGCTGCAATACTTACAAGTTGGAGAAACTAATTTCAGACCTGGAGAATAAAACACCAACATTTATTGAATGGATGGGAGTCCCCCATCTTGATTTAGACCCGGAGTACTTAAACAGAATTCTTGAGGACAATATTCAGCTCAGTGTTAATTATCCACACATCTCTCAAGGAAAATTCTAATTTTGGATTTGGTGCCACTGTTGGTCACTCTGCTGAGAATAAACCATCGCTAAAAGCTGAAAAAGGTTAATTTAAGCCTGGAAACTATAGTCTTATAGCAAACCTCAATAAAATAGACAAAATAGACAGTAAGATGATAATTACGTTTAATTTTGAAAATATGATTTAGTCTGGGTTGACCCATTTCAGATTTGACAGAATAACATCAAAATTGAGATTAACAAATCACGATAAAATTTTCAGTCATTATGTTATCACGATTATCTCCTCTAATTTAATATTCTTCTTCAAATAGGTGGCTAGAACCATAATCATAATATTTTATTACAATTTCCACTTTCCGAATTCGACCTTACTTTGTCCCCAACTTTTTTTGTGTGGCAATTTTAACTTTAATTCCTTATGTATCACTTTAAAGCACGAATCAGAATTGTACAGTAGTCATATTCTGCAACTCAGCAAGGATACAAAATTCCACAATTTTTTTACAACTTTATACAAAACGTGCCGCACTGCACTTTAAAAATAAGGGGTTATCAGTCTTTACCATTTGTTAATTACAAATGTTTTAGCTTTAATTCTATTTTTAAAAACGAAAGAAAGACGACTTTCATTCGCTTTATACTTATAACTAGCTTGGGAACCCAGCGTTGTTTAGGTTACTTATAGTTACTCCCCCCGTTTACCCGAACTTGGTTTTAAATTACGATTTTAGCTATTTTTCCCTATTAAAGTCGACCAACTCCCAAATTCGAATTTGAGGCAAATCGCTCAAGGGGTGCATGAGTTCAGATCGGACATACAAACAATCTAAAAAACTGAGATTATTACTTTGTATATATAGATGCATCAACACATAAGCCTTAAATGCCATGTCTTGTGATATTTCCATGATAAAATTAGGTATTTTTCACCAGACTGTGCAATCCTGCCAGAATCAGAGCCTGAACCTGTAATCCAAGTTATAAACCAACCCCTGACTAGTGTTGAAATCACCCCTGCTGAGCTTCTCAGCGTGACCCACATTAATTCCCCGTCTCTGTTCTATATAAGGAAGGTGAGCAGCCAGGATCTGCTGTATAGTTTACGAGTTCTGCTTCAGAGACAAGGTCTCCAGCGTGTTGGAGCGGAGGAAATTAAACTAGATCTAGAGATCTGCTCAAACCTCAGGCACGGGGATATGTATTTGTTCGAAGAATGACCCCCCCCCCTTAAAAATCGGCTTGCCCCATTATGTTACAAATTTGTTTAAGCGATTGTAAGTTTAAATTTGGGAAAATATATTATTTTATTGGGAAAATAAGTTAATATTAAAAAGTTTTGAGGGAAGAAAAAAATTGCCCTTTTTCTTTTTTTGTCCCAAATCTTCTTTAAAAAAACTTAAAAACTTTCTTTCCCAGGGAGGGGGGAATTTAAAAATCTAAAAATCAAGTCCAATTCCCCCTCCCTCTTCTAAAACCTGTTTTCCCCAGGGGCAGGGGGAATTCAGTAACATATACACCCCATATCTTAGGAGAGGAAGAGTTACACGGATCAATGAGAATTCGGTTCACCTGTATCTGCTGGACTCTGGGGAGACTGTTGAAGCAGCAAAGGGTTCCCTCTATCATCTTCCTGATCTTGCTAGACAACAACCTCCTCTAGCATATCCTTGCAAACTTAGGTAACTTCTTAGATTTCTTTTAAAAGAGATTGTCGACAAATTTTCAAATTTTTTCTTCACTTACAGGGATTGAGACATAATTTCAAGCTACCCTCCACTTAAGTGGACTGCAGATTCACAACGGTACCCGTCAAAACTTTGACCTATCGTGGATAAAGTAGAAATGACGGTTTTTCTGTTAAAACATTATTTTGACTTGTGGATTTCTGTATTAGAGAAAATGAAAGAAACTAATAGAATTTAACACTTTTTAAGATAGAAAACGGATTGAACGGATAATATCGTTGTGAATCGGACATGCCACTCTATAAATGGAGGATCACTTTAAATTATGTTTACAGTCCCTATAGAGAGGTATATGCCCGATTAACAAATGCACCCTGTAAACATTTGTCTGAGTCGAGATCTCCGTGTTTTTCTAGTTTTAAAAATTGACGGACTTTAGTATAGATATAAAGATGTAGAGATGTAGAGATGTAGAGATGTAGAGATGTAGAGATGTAGAGATGTAGAGATGTAGAGATGTAGAGATGTAGAGATGTAGAGATGTAGAGATGTAGAGATGTAGAGATGTAGAGATGTAGAGATGTAGAGATGTAGAGATGAGAGATGTAGAGATGTAAAGTTGTAAAGATATATGCCCGATTTAATCTTTGCTTTTAACAAGATTCATTAGCACCAGCTGAGGCTGGGGGCCGTCTGGTAAGCACAAATAACTTTAATCTTACCTCTAATTAATTTGGGGATTTAATCGAAATAATTCTCTTTTACCTTCACTGCTAACACTTTCCTGAATTTAGGTTTGTTGAGCCACTGTTGAGCCATGTAGTGGAGGGTGGAGAGAAGAAATGGAGGATTGGAGCCATTCAAGAGTTCGTAACACTTACAAGGAATAAGAAGTTAGTGATTCCTAGTTACTCCAGCTCAGACTCTATACTAGAGATAGATCTCTGCTATCTTCCTCAACCCAACACATCTCTCCAGGTAAAGGTTTTCATCCTTTTTTTTAGTACTTTGGCTCTGAAAAGACTCCATTATGTTTTTCAAGTGACTCTCCATGGTAATTGATGATTAATTACGATAATTTATTTATAATTTCCTGCAATAGAAAAGCAAGGTAATAAGGCAAGGAAAGTTAATTGCCGTTACATATTCTCTGCGTACATATTGAAACCAGTTCTCTCAGGGCAGTGTTGGAAAAAAGCATCAAATTTGGACAAGTTTGATAATTTACATAATAGTTTCCTATGACCAGAATATTTCATTGACTTTTTATGTGAAAGATGGATCTCATGTCAGGCTGTGAAATCCGTCTTATGTTTACCCTACAGCCCAGAGTCAGTATGCTGCAGTACAAAAAATGCGTACAACTCTGAAATAACTATCTTTACATGATAATTCTTTGTGCACAACTCACTTTTGTAGACTTCAGGGGTCCAAAAACTAAATTAAACTTATGCAAATGTTGACTGACAAACGGTTACAAAGAAAGTTCAGGCATATTCTTCTGCGCGCAAGATTGAACATTTTGCTAAGTGTAATAAAAACAAAATATAAGAGATTATATTTTTAAAATATGATGAAACTTAGATTTTCGTGGAACCTCCTGAAAACCTAAAACTCCTGAAAGTTGAAAAACTTACAACAAAACCGGAGGGGCGTACTCAGGAATTTGCCTAAGAGGGGGGGGACGCAGCACCCATTGGGGCCAAAAAAAGCTCCTAGGAAACCATAAATGTCATTGATCCAGTGGAGGAAGGGGGTTTCTCCTACATAGCCCCCCCCCGAGTACGCTTCTGGAAAAAATTATACCCAACTCTTACTCCAGGAGTATGTGAACCTAGGAGATATCCTGGTGTTTAGGGAACTAGCTGCTCATACACACAACAAACCAGGGGTGTATACTGTTCCTGCCAATATCATTTATTTCAATTTTTTATGTTTAAAAATATTTAGACGCCGCCATATCCACCATATCACATGAAAAATATCTCCCATCATAAACATTTTTTTAGTTTAGATGTAAGTTCTTGATGCTTAGTTTCAACTTTTGATGAAATTAATTTGATGAAATTCATAAATTTTGAATTTAAAAATCTTTTCTTGATATTTTTCACAATTTTTTCGGACCAAAGGTCAATATTTGAAGCGCTATACACCATTTTTTTAACAGACAAAAAACGTAATTTCCCCTTCCCCCAACCCAACTACTCCCATCGCGAAGAAGCTTGTGTTGTTGTTGAACGTGTGTTTTCTCCTCAATGGTTCTACGTGAGGTCCTCAGGTTCAGCCATTAAGAAGAGAGTGGACGCAATTAAACAGGAACCAGATTTATTTAAGAAGAAGAAAACGAGACATATTTGAACCGAGTTTACTCAAATAATTTTCATCTCCTCTGCTTGACCATATGTCCGGGCAACTTTCTGAATCATCAAATTTTCAAAATATTTTGAAAGATTCTTTCACATTTTTCGACAATTATGGCATAATTTGTACATCTATAAGTAAAAGAAATTAAAATATCCATGTAATTCTATGAAAGGAAGACGACATTCAAAAAAGAGTATTTTATTTTTAAAATATTAAAAAGTGCCCCACTACCTGGGCGGATGCTTTTTAACGCCAGACCAGCCCAAAAGAGAAATTTCTTTCCTATTCATTAAATCTTGTTGAAGGAGATTCAGAAGATTGATGTTAGAACCTTGACATTAATACTAGCTCCGGCAGTCAACCAACCCTGTATTTTTATTGGAGAAAGTTTATTCAGAGGAGTTATAAGCAGAGTTCTTAGGGAGAAAAAGGTAAGTTAAAGGGACTGTATACAAAATTTCAAGTTACCCTACATTAATAGAGTGGTATGTCTGATTCAAATGGTATCTTCAACTAATGATGAGTCAGTTTTTATCTTTTAAGTGTTGAAATAAAAAAAATGTTGACAGCAAAGCAAGGATTATCATTCATCATTGATTTAAATGGTATCATTCTGAACCTGACATACAGCTTGATAAATTGTGAATCAGGCATGTAACAGTCACTTTAAATTACATTAAAGGTTGAGGTAACACTGATTGATGTTGGAACTACAGCTGTGTGTCAGCTCAAAGCAATCCGTTCTATTCCTCATCAGCTGCTTAGTATCCAGTGCCTAGTTAGACTAGGTAATAAATAAATAAATGAATAAATAAAACAAACAATTCCGGCGTTGATGGCACTGAGTATGTAAAAAGCTAAGAAAATTCACATGATTTGCTTGCTATCTTTTACTACAAGTAGTAACTTCACAGTGGAAACAGCGCCTCTAGTATGAGAACTGTTTTTTCAACATTTTTCGATTTGAGTTTTCCATCCAGAAAAGTTTCTTTGAATAAAATTATCACAAAATTAATAATTTTATGACAGCAGGGTTACTTATTTCTTGTAGACGTAAACTTGAGTTTTTTAAAAACTTTTTAACACATATGTTTTATGAAACTGGGATTTTACCTGAACATTTAAAAATATCTCGTACCGTTCCCATATTTAAGGTGGGTTCTACTGTTAATTTATCCAACTACAGGCCTATCTCATGTTTACCAACTATATCTTAGATATTTGAAAGAAACTTTTATCTTTTGTTGAATCTAATGATATTTTATAATTTTTAGTTTGGATTTTAATCTTGGAAATCAACTGTTGATCCTTTAATTCATATTTTACCACATTCTTATCAAATTTACTGCGTAGCCAAATCAGCAATAATTCTTATTATATCATATCTGTTCGGTTCCATAGTAGTAAACCATATCGTGTAAGAATTCCCATTATTACACGGTTCAGGAGGAACAATTTTAATATTGTTCGCTTCCTTGCGTTTAAGAATGCTTATTCTTACACTGAAGGTGTAGAATTTTCATTCTTTAACGCTCAGACCGTGTAAGAATGGAAATTATTACACGGTTAGAGCATGAAAGAATGTATATTCTTACACGCTCCAAGCATTAAAGAATGGAAATTCTTACACTAGTTAAAGAATATTCATTCTTACACGTTCCTTATATTGATCTTTTCAGTATAGATCAATATTGATATTAACTTAATTATTTTGTACTGACAACATGCACAGGGCAAACTCACCTTTTTCTTTTACATTAATACATGCAAATTTACCTTTTTTTAACTTAAAAACAACATGCTCACTTACCTTTTTCTTTTATATTAAAACATGCAAACTTACCTTTTCTACTTTAGTAAAACATGCTCACATACCTTTTTCGTTTTTTGAAGTATTGATATACCTTAATTCAGAAATATCAATTTGAATCTCAACCCTAGTCCTGACAGAAGAGTGGAAATTAACATTTTCTGACCATTCCCAAAAATATGGACGATGCCTTTAGCCTTACATTAGACACTTTCATCAAACTGCCGAGTCTTAAAGCATACTGCCCGACTGCCTACTTAATAAATTTTTTTTAGTTCATCTTCATTTCAAACCAAGTTTGGTGAGATTTTGCAAATCTCTGCATACTTGTAATAGTGTGGTCAGAGCTTTTCAGTCTGAGTCACCATATCTTGCATATTTCCAAATGATGAAGTGAAACCACAATCAAAACCAAAAAAAGTATAAAAAAGTATCATTGAAATATTAGTGTCACAGTTTTAATGGAGTCTTAGCACTCCATAGCAATGAAAACAAACCAGTAAATCTTGCTTCATGAATAAAAGACAAAGATCTTCATCAGTTTAGGTCAAACTGATTCTAACTAGATATCCTGCTTTTATCTCCTCTTTTTGGAAGATTTAGGATCTAATATCTGGAAAATGATTTCTTCTATAAATGAAGACAGGATATTGTTCAGTAGATGAAGACAACCCACTACTAAAAAACTCAGGGCACATTTAACATGCTGTATCTAAATGTAGTATCAACTTAAAAAACGACCAAAATCATTGGTAAACAAACAAACTAAACTAAGGAAACAATCACACCACATGCATTACTCTCAAATTAAGAACCAATTTTTACTTTTAAAACGTTTGTTTTTTAACATTTTAACATTAGAAAAATAAAAAACAGTGTTAGTCAGAACAAGAGCATAAAACTTATTTGCAACCTTTCATAATGTGAACTCTTCCAACTTGAAATAGTCGGTTTTCACCAGAATTATTTTTTAATATAATTTCTTGGGTATGTGCCCATGGAACCTCACAAATATGATATAATAATAATCTTATGAGGAAAAAAATGTAATAATGGAAATTCTTAAACTCGGCCTTCGTTAAAGAATACATCAAGATTATTTCATCTCGTTTAAGAATTTCCATTATTACATTTTTTTCCTCATAAAATATCATATTATTCGCACTCATTTCGTGTAATAATTATGATAATTCCACAAACTAGATGTGAATAATAAGAATTATTCACCAGGAACTTGATAGATAGATAGATCCACAAACTAGGTGACAATAATAAGAATTATTCACTGGAACTTGAAAAATAGATAGATCAGCTATTTAGTTCTAGAAACTAAACCAAATGGTAAATTACTTTAAAAATCATAACAAATTCCCTATTTTAAATTCTTGTCTAACCTGACACCTTTAATTTCATCTCACTTTCAGTAATTTAAACATGTTTATTATATTTAAGGACAGACGACTAAGGTAAAATAATTATGCAAAATGCAAATCCTACCTTGTAATTTTGTCAATTGAAGGAACACCTACCTTTTAATTTTGGTCTTAGAGACATTTTTCTCGATCCATTTTAGCTGAATAAATTAGGCAAAAATGAAAAAAAAACTTATAATATAATTGAAAATCATATTTTGAAAAAATAACAGAAAAAAACTGTTCCTTTTTTATTATGGATGTAAAAAGAATTTCTTGAGCAAAAATTAGTTACAATCTTGTATTTGTTAAGATCCATTCTTTTGATATAGATTCTTTTAAAGAATTCTTTTTTACCTTAGTGAAAGGAAAAACACAAAAAGTTAAAAAAAATGTGAATTGAAAGAAAAAAAAGAGAAAAATATCTAACTGAGTATAATAAAACTAAGAAATACAAATTAAAAATAAAAACAAAAAATATTAATGAAAAAAAAATCATCATTTGAGATGACAGACAAAGAATCTTTGGCTCTAAATGCCAGATTTGATTGTTTAATGTTTTTGTGACATTTTTCAATATTTAACATCACTTCTTGCTGCTAGAGATGTATGGCTTGCTCCAATCCACCTTTATGTGAATCTGCATTCAGGACTACAAATATTAAAGAATGACGAAAAATGAGGGTTGATAAAATTAATAATGATTAAAAGTTAAATGATATGTACCTAGTTAGAAATAGGTGGCATCTGGGGTTTAACAACATTGAACTTGGGATTCTTTATCATATCTGGAATCTGGGGTTCAACAACCCTTTAGTGTGAATTCTTCCTCATATCTGGAAGTGGAATCTGTGGTTCACCCACCTCGAAGTTTGGATTCTTCATCATATCTGGATTCTGGGGTTTAGCAACCTTGAATTTAGGATTCTGTTTAGCTTTGATATATTTTTAAAAGACGACATTACTGTTTGTCTATCTTACAATACAAAGCAGGTAGTTTCCATTTAAACTCCGCACCTTTCACAGGTGTGGAGACAGTTTCCAAGATGAATTTATCAATATAAAAAGGTAATAGTTGTAAACCTTAAATAACCTTTAGATTGTATGCATAAGTGTATGCATATTTATTAAGTTATATATCTTAACTATTTTGTATATTTCAGTTATGTGCTTTTGACGAGTGTTTAGTGTAAATGAGAAGGTTGAAAATAAACATCTATAAAGAAAACTTGCTCATTATATTCACAAGTCTACCCATCGACAAAACTTGTTTTCTGGGTCTTATTGAAAGGAAACCTGAAACTGATTCCTCTCAATACAGATTCCAATCCACTTTTTTGCAAATCTGCATCCAGGACTAAAAATATTGGAGAATGATGAAAAATGAGGGTTGTTAAAATTCATAATGATTAAAAATTAATTGAAATGTACCTGGTTGGAAATAGGTGGAATTTTTTACCCAGATTTTCCATCCATTAGGGATTGAGTCATAATCAAGTTATCTTCTTCATCTGGAGTTCTAAGTTCAGGGATATTCTTCCTTTTTGGTTTCTGGACTTCAGCAAACTTGAGCTCAGGATTCTACTTCCTTTCTAGTTTCCAGGGTTTAGCAATCTTGAACTCAGGATTCTGGGGTTCACCAACCCTGATGTTAGGATTCTTCATCATATCTGGAATCTGGGGTTCAACAACCCTTCATTCAGGGTTCTTCATCATTTCTGGAATCTTGGGTTCACCAACCTTGAACGTAGGATTATTCATCATATCTGGATCAAGGGGCTCAACAACCCTGAAATTAGAGATCTTGGAGGGTTTTGCTTTGGGATGATAAATTACTGGGACCTCTATAGTCCTTAGATCCCGGAAAATGATATCTGAATCATTCTCAGCCACTACAACTTGGATGTTTTGAAGAAGAGCATGTTCATCAGTCACTCTGTTTGATTCTAAAACATTATTGTTCTGAGCTGAATGTACACTTACTGTTATTGTATTCTGGTGGGGACCCATTTGATAGTTCTGATTCAAATTGGTATTGAAGGCATCATCATATTTCCAGGCATAAATACAGGTGCTGACCCGTAAGGATGATAACCTGGATTACCTGGGAACCAGGTGGTTCCATGGGGCCAATACATACAGTAATTTACAGGAGGCATTTCACCATAGACAAAGTTAGGTACATGCCCAGGTATGACAGGAAGAGGTTGATTTATTGCAGGGGGAGGAGAAGAGCTTTTTTTAGCATCATTAAGTGTCCTTGACAGAGTTTTAGCAATAGCTTTCAGCTCTCTTAGGTTTTGCTTCTCTGCTGCTTTCAACAAATCAATCTCATCCTCTGAATTAAGCTCATCAAATTTCACTTTTTCCTCTTACTGAGCTTCTCTTTGATTTGCTGAGTGGTTTCGAGTATCATTTAATCATCCTCAGAATTGAAAACAGTTTCTACGTTCTCGTCTCAATGATAACATGATCCAAGTTGCAGTTTGGTATAACCCTTCTATCATGTGAATGTTTAAGAATATTTTCATCCCTTCCTCCTTCAGTATTTTCTTGAACAGATAAG